TCCCAGGGGCAGGAGCCTGTGTCTTTACTATGCAAGCTTCTGCCAATGCACTTTGTCCTTTGGCTATATCATCTCTCTCATTCCAGTCTCAGGAGTCTCCCAAGGAGAGATTTGTCACAACATGGACAAATGTTGAGTGGGATGTGATGACCAAACTATGGTCATTGTCTATGGCTGATCACAGATTACATTGTCATGGTTTCCTATCATTCACATAACAAAACCGTCTGTGAGTCAGGCATTATTCTCCAGTGAAGCAAAGATCTCACTTTTACACTTTTAATGGGGATGAGACATACAACCAGTCAAGATATAAACTGGGGGTCTCTTCCCATTGGTTAATGTCTGTCTGTTGGCAGAGAAAGCAGCCACTAACTTATAATGTTCTCATGGCAATGCTATCCATAATATAAAATAAATTAATGTATCAAACCAGGGAAAGTAGGGTAAAATACACCATGGCTGCATCTAGACTGGCATGATTTTCCGGAAATGCTTTTAATGGAAAAGTTAAAAGCATTTTCGGAACAAAGCGTCTAGATTGGCATGGACGCTTTTCCGCAAAAGCACAAGACACCTATGAAAGCTCATCACCTAATAAACCATCTTGTTAGTCTTTGAAGTGCTACATAGTCCTGTCTACACAGCACTGATTTCGAAATAGAGCACTCTTCCTCCAACTTCCCTTACTCCTCGTACAACGAGGGTTACAGGAGTCAGAATAAGAAGTCCTCCAGACTGACAGTATTTCGCCATTATTTCAAAATAACTGCTTGCTGTGTAGATGCGGACTAAGTTGTTTCGAAATAACTCTAGTTATTTCAAAATAATGTTGCTGTGCAGATGTACCCTTAGGTTGCGTCTAGATTGGCATGATTTTCCGGAAATGCTTTTAACAGAAAAGTTTTCCGTTAAAAGCATTTTCGGAACAGAGCATCTAGATTGGCATCGAAGCTTTTCTGCAAAAGCACTTTTTGCGGAAAAGCATCCGTGCCAATCTAGACACGTTTTTCCACAAAAAAGCCCCGCTCGCCATTTTCACAATCGGGGCTTTTTTGCGGAAAACAAATCTGAGCTGTCTACACTGGCCCTTTTGCGCAAAAGCTTTGCTCAAAAGGGACTTTTGCCCGAACTGGAGCAGAATAGTATTTCCACAGGAAGCATTGATTTCAGACAGTAGGAAGTCAGTGCTTTTGCAGAAATTCAAGCGGCCAGTGTAGACAGCTGGCAAGTTTTTCCGGAAAAGCGGCTGATTTCCAGTCTAGACATAGCCCACTAGTAAACCCATCTTTTCAGCACCTTATTATTTTCATGTCAACTAATAGTTTCCACACACAGACAGCAGTAATTTTGCTATTACAGTTTATTTTTATAAAGAAGGTTAAATATTTGTCTGCAGAAGTATCATGAAATTTCACTATTTGACCCAGGTTTATAGGGAATTTGCTGTTTTATTACAAGTTGTGCTTGTTCACAAAAATAGCTCAGTTTTGCTCTGAATCAGAGTTACAAGTCCTGGAAAATGAAACTTTGTAGCTTGACAAAGTCTTATAGCGGATATTTTCCTTCCATTTTTCAGGAACTTGTTTAAAGCCCTGGTCATGAATTGAATCCTGTCCCTCAAAGATTCTTAACTGATTTGACACTTCCATACTAAAATGATGGTGTCTGTGCATATGTTCAACAAGGAAACTGTTGTCCACTTGAAAGAACTATATTTACTCAGCAAGTCTTATCTCTGTGCAGCATCTGCGTATCCATTACATCTTGCTTTTTGCTGCATTAGCTGAGGAGCAAAACACCTTCAAATGACTAGTCTTGGATCACACAATGAGTCAGGAGCTCAACAGGAGTAAAGCCTCCATATACTCCTCGCTTCTTTGCCAAATTCTGAGATTACACATCGGCTATGCTGTATTTTAAATCTGAATGTGTATTAGTAAGGGCCAGTTTTTCAGAGGTGGCCTCCAATATTTCCTCTAATCTTGTCCATCTATATGTGGAATACATTTTTATGTGCACTGAGGCAAGTGCACCACCAATAGATACAAAAAACCTAGAGGTGGGCAATCTGCTACACATCTGGGTGGCATTTGAATCTCTCCTGAGAATTTTCACACACAGGCCATGTCACAATTAGACTGCCGAATTCAATCTTCCGGAGTTTGATTTAGTGAGTCTAGTTAAAACTCACTAAATCAAACTCAGAGGGTACCCCTGTTGGCAACTGGGACTCCTGCTTCTGTGAGGAGTAAGGGAAGCTGATGGGAGCATTTGCTCCTCTCGGCCTCCTGCTGTGGAGATGGTGTGGAAACTCGAAACAAGGTACATGGACTCCAGCTACGAAATTAAGAGCTGGAATTGCATATCTTGATTCAGTGTTCCCTTTTTGTGTAGACCTGGCCTCAGAAATTGGGTAACTGCACGCATAAGAGATAGTGAAGTGTACAATTACTTGATTTACAGGGCAAATTGGTGCACACACAATTTTGGAGATCATATTTTTGCATGTGTTGTCCCCTCCGCATTCATAGATGGGCAGTGAGCAGTAATGCCAGTTCCTGCTACTGTATCTCAGATGCCAGCATTTAATTATTTAAATACGGTTGCAGGTGTTGGCACATCAGGCTCAGAAGAAAAAACTGCCAAAGCTGACATACTGGAGTCATCACACATAGTAAATTTCCCCCTTCCCTTAGTTACAAGCTTTCCTTTTTTATTTGGGCAAAATCTTAGATTAAACTGAATAAAGGGATTACACATCCTAATCATAAATTAATGTAAAAAATGTGCAATTAATGTGTATAAGAAAGAAGTAATGAATTGTTATTTCCCTGAGCACTGTCTAATGAGACAAGTGATAATGTATCTTCTGTTTTCTCTCAATGCTAAAGTAAACCAACACATTCCTTTACAAATATTTTCCCTTTTCTTCCTCCCATCAAGATTCAAATCTAAGTTATGAACTTGTTCCCTTTAGAGTCAGTTGCAAAATTCCAGTTGCCCCTGGAGTGCAATGCTCGGTGGCTCCAAATGCCTGTATATTTGTATCTCTTTGAGAAGAAATTTTGACTCTGCCTTTACCCATCAGTTCACTGATTTTGATTTGTTGAAGAGGTCCCCACTATATCCAGGCCACAGGATAAAGTAGCATTCCAACAGATGCAGACTTAGTTGAATCTTGTGATTGATTTCTTCAGGGTGAAGGCTCTAAGTTCAGGGATCAGGCAATAGCCTTCAGGTCAGCTGAACCTTAGACCAAAGATTAACACAAGCAGCTCAGTTTGGAGAGAGAACAGTAGGAGACCCTGGACTAAGGAAAGGACCTGGGAAGGGCCCAGGCCATGGAACCCAATTTATCTGTTTGACTGTGTTGTGCTGCTTTGCCTTTGAGAAAAACACCCACTCTGCAGAAAGGGATTGAAATGCTGTTGCTTTGGGGAGCTTTAGTTGCCACATGGTGAGTTGTCTCTCCAGTTTCTAACATGGTTTAAAATTAATTCACCAAAGTTGTCATGGAGATGTAGAAGTATCTCATATCAAAGGGGAGGTGCTCAGTTTGAAACAAACGAATATTAGGTTTGTCAGACCATTCCACTTCCAGGCCTACCATTCTTCTGGGACTGTTGCCACCAGTGCCAACTGTAAGGATGAAACCTTTTGCCCAACTCTTGTTGATGGGTGATACTCCTCATAGAACAGCTTTTTCATGGCCTTCATAACCCTTCCCTCTCATTTACATTTTTCTGCAGGCTTTCTGGCTGTTCTTCTGCCTGGTCTCAGGACACAAACCATCCAGAACTTTCCCCAGGGGGTAAGAAGATCCGATGGCACCAGACACTGAAGTCAAAGAGGGACAAAGAGTTCCACAAGCACTGGCACAATAGAGTTGCTCTGTTCTCATGTGTATGTTGCCCTCTCTCTAGTAGAGAAGAGGGTTTGCTGTGTGAGCTGGATATTCCCAACAAACAGCCAAATACAGAGATCAAAGTGGATCTAAGCATCCATAGAGGTGAATCTGGCTCCTTGTCAGATGGCTTTTGATCACCTGTTTGCCTAGTGGGGCTGCTGACGGAGCCCACATTCAACCAGGCCTTCATTCAGTCTGTTCCCCACCCACAAAGCAACTGTGTTCCTGCCAAGGAGTCTCTCTCATCCACTGACTCAGCACCCTTCTTTTGCCCAGTTTTAAAGGATGTATTTGCAAAGGTTCCCCCCTCCTCCCTGCAAAAGGAAATCCTTTGTCTCCTTGCTCTTCTAATGGAATCCTGAGAAGTATGTGTGTGAGCCAAAGAGCTAGGAATTCTTCTCCACTAGATTTCTCAGGAAGACTGATGCTTCCTGCATTTTAAAAAGCCCTTAAGTCACAAACTCTCACAAGAGGGGAAAAAAACAATAAACTGATACAGGAATCGTTTGTTAAATGAGGGGAAAAAGCCTGCTAAATCTTCCTTTTCCTGCCAGACCTTCAGAGCATGACAGTCAGTCATTGAATGCCAAAGATTCAGTGAGAAATGTACTGTATATACATATAAACAAACTACTTACTTCTAGCAGAAAGCCAAGAATCGTGCATGACAGAATCCAGAATAAGTATTAGTCAGTGGCTGCATCTGCTGAAAGTTTGGCTCTTCCCCTAGATTCTGTCATTTCGCCTAAGGCCAGGAAAACTGAGGTGGTGTTTATCAATGTGAAGCTCACTGGCCGGTCTGACAAGTAATGTGTTTATTCTACATGCATGTCCAGAACAGCTAAGCAGTGGTTTACAGACACTGAAGTAGCACATGTGTCATATTCCATAAAAACACAAGAAGAGTAAATGCTTCTTTGCTATACATTTTTAAGTAGCGATATACCCATCTCATAAAACTGGAAGGGACCTTGGGTCCAGTCCCCTGCCTTTGCAGCAGGACCAAGTATCATCCCTGACAGATTTGCCTCAGATCCCTAAAGGGCCCCCTTAGGGATTGAACTCACAAATCCTGGGTGTAGCAGGCCAATGCCCAAACTACTGAGCTAGCCCTCCCCCTAAGTAAAGATTGTTTTACTTAAATTATCTGTTAACATCACAAGTGCTTCAACCAGACCCATCTAGCTTCCATCTTACACTGTCAGGTGGATCACTTACCCTCAAAAGTAAGATAATAGCTCTCCCTTTGAAAGGATCCTGAGCGTTTGGAGAGTTGCTGGATTCAACCTCAGAAGGCATCCAGGAAAACAAAACCTCTCATCTGCTGCTTATTGGACCAATTGAGCCAGACTATCAAGCGCCCTGGACCCATTATTTCACTCTGTGGTCCCTTAAGTACAGATATTTGAAACCAGAATTCCACCATTGTTCCTTTCAAAGACTGGAACAGAAATCCAAGCCCTGGAAATCAGCACAACTACTCACCACAGTATCTGCAGGATTGCACCCTGAGACAAAACAGCAGCCATTGTAATTGATAGATGAGGCAATTACTATGAGAAGCTTTGCCTGAGAAGTATGTAAGAGAAGCTAAACGCCAAAGACACCCTGCAGTCAAATGGCAGCCAGGCCACAGAATATCAATCTTCTTACCAGCTAATTGTTTTCTGTGATTGGTTCTAGCTCTGTTCAAGGTTAGCAGGAAATTGGTCCACTATATTAAGAAGGATGCTTGCAGGATAAAGGAAAGCTGTGGCAAGACCCTATAAATCTGTTCGTGAGGCTACTAGTTTAGCCAAGAGTTACCAGGATCAGGCCTTCACTCCATATTCTTTTGGCTTCAGAGTTTTTAAAGAGGAACATGGCCCTGTGAGGTGTGAAAATCCCCATCTGAAATTTCCTGCCACCTGCCTGAAAGAAAACAGAAAGAAAATGAACTCCTGCAGTCTGTGTAGTTGGAATAGATTCAGAGGACTTATTGGCAAGATAGACATTTGGGTTTTTTTTCTTCTGCAGCTTATTGTGCCTACTCTGGCAGGGAATGCTGTGGTAACCAGGAGTGTAAAAAGATGGTCAGATGTTGTCTAATAATTTTTTAAAAAGCTTTTTGCAAGAAGTACAGAGAAATTAGTCAAAAATGGAATTAAGAGAAAGCATAAGAAAACAGCTCACATACAAGCAAAGGAGAAAAACATTGATGTTAGAAAAGAAGGGGGGAAACAAAGAAGGGGAAGATGGCATGAAAAAAATACTTGAACCCAAAAACGGAAATATCTGAAAATATTCTTTGACACTTAATATAAGAAAAGCTGTGTAACTATCTTTGGGTAACATAGTTTCAAAATATTCTATTTAGGATAGCTCCTCAGAGGAATAAATCATCATAGTTCACCTGACTTAACATCAACTGAGAATCTGGTTCAGAGATTTCAGAATACATTGCATCTAAGGCTGCCAATTGTATATAAAACCTTTTTTACGGGCATGTGGCAAATAGCCAAAACAAAGCAACAGTGTCAACTCACAGTGTGGTTGGAGAAGAACAGAACTTACCCCACCATTCTTTTTTTAATAAACAGAGAAGAAAACTGCTTGCTTCCAGGTCCCGGTCACTTTCATTCCTCTATCAACACCAATGGAAGTGGAGTAAAAATGCTCATATTTCCCGGAAGGATTGCTATGAAGGGGACACCTGCAGAATAGGGAGCATGGGGAATGAAATTAAGCTGCAAGATACTCAATCACGTGGTCAGAACAGCACACAGGGTTTAATAAAAATCCACTTATTCAACTTAACTTGCAATCAGGTCTACACTTTTCAAGTGAAACTGTTGTATTCTGTAGTTGGGCCAGCTAATCAGATCTGCTCCTGGAGTGTATCACTAAAGGCATGTTTTCCAACCCTGCGTTCATTCGCATATTTTCTCTGAACTTTCTGCAATTTACCCACATCCTTCTTGAAATGTTGATACCAGAACTGTACATAATATTCTACTAGAATTCTCACCAGTTACAGCTACTTGACGGTCCCCTGTTTATAAATCCAAGGATCACATTTGCTCTTTTGGCAATAGTGTCATACTAGGCATTCATGTTCAGCTCATTATCCTGGGAATCAATGACTCTGAAAAAAGATGAAGAGCATTCTCTATTACATTTTTTGTTCCTAGATGTACATCTGTACATGTGGCTGTATTAAAACACATATTGTTTGCTTACCCTCAACTTACCAAGTGATCCACACAACTCTGAATCAGGGACTTGCCTGTTTCATTATTTACCACTCTTCCAGTTTGTGCGTCATCTGTAAACTTTATTAGTGATGAATTTATGTTTTCTTCCAGATCACTAATAAAAACATTAAATGGTTTAAGAACAAGAATCTATCTCTGCAGGTCCCTGCTACAAATACACCAACCAATATGATTCCCATTTTAAAAGTATGTTTTGAGTCCTTTTGGCTGGTTTTTAATCCATTTAATCGGTGCCATGTTGATTTTGTATTGTTGTAGTTTCTTAATCAAAATGTCATGTGGTACAAAGTCAAACACTTTCTAGAAGTCTAAGGAAATGTTATCAGCTCCATCAGCCAAACTTACCTCTTTTTTAAAAAGCTATCAAGTTAGTTTGACAAGCTCTGTCTTCCATAAGCCCATGCTGACTGGCATTTATTTGTTATCCTCCTTTATTTCTTTAGTAATCAAGTTCTATATTAGCCATTGCTCAGGATCAATGTCAGGCTGATACCCCTATCCCGGTCAGCCCTGTCACAGTTCAGGGCAACTCCACCTATACTGGCCTTCGGAGTTCCAGCAAGGACTCTCATTCTAGGCTCCAAGCTCCTCAGCCACCACCTGTCTGGAATGAAGATAGACATGTCTTTCTCCCCTGACCATGGTATTTCCAGGCTGCAATATCCACAGTAAAGACAGTCTGTCTTAACAGTCCTCAGTTAAGTTATCGCACAGCTCTTCCTAAGTGAGCACATTTATTCTTAAGATAAAAACATTACAGAGAAAACCTGTTTAAAATTACACAAAAGACCCTACATGCATGCTCATAAAATTACCAGATTACCAGAAATCACCTCTAATTTCAATAAGGGCTCTGCCTGGGGATCAGCCTTTCAAACCCCACACAGAGTTTATTCCTGTGATCACAAGTTCAACGCAGACTTTAAGGTCAGAAAGGATCATCATGATCATCTAGTCTGATCTCCTGCACATTACAGGCCACGAAACCTCACCTACTGTAATAGGCCTTTAATTTTTGGCTGTCACTGATGTCTTCAAATCATAGATTAAAGCAGAGGAAGGCAAAATACAGCCCACAGGCTGGATTCAGCTCATGATACATCCACATCCAGCTTGCCACAATCCTCTGGGCTGCCAATGTCTTGTAGCCCAATGAGACCCTCGGGCAGGATCCTTTCCCACTGTGGTCCCACATGTCGGTCAAAGCAGCCAATTGCTGGGGCCAGTGAGTACATCTGTATTGGAAATACGTAGCCTGATGTATCTTCAGCTTCCACCCAGAGTCAGAACTCAGGCCTGATGATACCTTATTGGGTCACAGTCTTTCCAAGCTTTCCCTAAAGATTGAGCCCCCCGTGGACTAAACATCCTGTCCATCTGGTGGCTCAGAAAGAAGGCTCAGTATCAGTTAACTCAATTATTTATAAACCCTTCCTTCATTAGTTAGTCCTTGGAGAATCCAGTTTGAACCAATATATGCAAACAAGTAGTGGTAGCTCTCTGCAGGTGTTACAACCTCAGGCTATGTCTACACTGGTAGCTTCTTGCGCAAGAACAGTCATTCTTGCGCAAAAACTTGCCTGCTGTCTACACTGCACGAGCGTTCTTGCTCAAGTAAATTTACAGTATAGAATTGTAAAACAGGACTTCTTCCAGAAGAGTTATTCCTTTCCCCACGAGGAATAAGGAGCTCTTCCACAAAAGGGCAGTGTAGACAGGCAACATGAATTTCTTGCGCAAGAAGCCTCTATGGTTAAAATGGCTATTAGAGCTTTCTTACACAAGAGAGCGTCCACACTGCCATGGATGCTCTTGCACAAAAGCATATGGCAGTGTGGACACTCTCTTGCGGAAGATTTTTTGCACAAGAAATCTTCCACAAAAGAGTCCTTGCATAAGAAGCTACCAGTGTAGATGTTGCCTCAGTGATTTACCTAACTACCCAACCCAAACCCATCCACTGTTCTTAGTTTCTGTACTAAATTTATCATCTGTTTTTTTCCCCAGGAGCAGAACCAAAATATTAATTGAATATTTCTGCTTTTTCTGCATTATTATTGACAATTCTACCATTTCCATCTAGTAATAGATCAAAACCATTAGCTGGTGATCAAAGAAAATTATTTCACTACAAAGGACAGGAAGAAGAGATCCAGTAGACAAGGCTAGAGATGATTAAGGCATGGAAAAGACCTTTGCTCTAATTTACATGCTGCCTGCATCCTGAATCTGAATCCCACTAGAATTTGGGGATCCATCTTACACTGTCAGGTGGATCACTTACCCTCAAAAGTAAGATAATAGCTCTCCCTTTGAAAGGATCCTGAGCGTTTGGAGAGTTGCTGGATTCAACCTCAGAAGGCATCCAGGAAAACAAAACCTCTCATCTGCTGCTTATTGGACCAATTGAGCCAGACTATCAAGCGCCCTGGACCCATTATTTCACTCTGTGGTCCCTTAAGTACAGATATTTGAAACCAGAATTCCACCATTGTTCCTTTCAAAGACTGGAACAGAAATCCAAGCCCTGGAAATCAGCACAACTACTCACCACAGTATCTGCAGGATTGCACCCTGAGACAAAACAGCAGCCATTGTAATTGATAGATGAGGCAATTACTATGAGAAGCTTTGCCTGAGAAGTATGTAAGAGAAGCTAAACGCCAAAGACACCCTGCAGTCAAATGGCAGCCAGGCCACAGAATATCAATCTTCTTACCAGCTAATTGTTTTCTGTGATTGGTTCTAGCTCTGTTCAAGGTTAGCAGGAAATTGGTCCACTATATTAAGAAGGATGCTTGCAGGATAAAGGAAAGCTGTGGCAAGACCCTATAAATCTGTTCGTGAGGCTACTAGTTTAGCCAAGAGTTACCAGGATCAGGCCTTCACTCCATATTCTTTTGGCTTCAGAGTTTTTAAAGAGGAACATGGCCCTGTGAGGTGTGAAAATCCCCATCTGAAATTTCCTGCCACCTGCCTGAAAGAAAACAGAAAGAAAATGAACTCCTGCAGTCTGTGTAGTTGGAATAGATTCAGAGGACTTATTGGCAAGATAGACATTTGGGTTTTTTTTCTTCTGCAGCTTATTGTGCCTACTCTGGCAGGGAATGCTGTGGTAACCAGGAGTGTAAAAAGATGGTCAGATGTTGTCTAATAATTTTTTAAAAAGCTTTTTGCAAGAAGTACAGAGAAATTAGTCAAAAATGGAATTAAGAGAAAGCATAAGAAAACAGCTCACATACAAGCAAAGGAGAAAAACATTGATGTTAGAAAAGAAGGGGGGAAACAAAGAAGGGGAAGATGGCATGAAAAAAATACTTGAACCCAAAAACGGAAATATCTGAAAATATTCTTTGACACTTAATATAAGAAAAGCTGTGTAACTATCTTTGGGTAACATAGTTTCAAAATATTCTATTTAGGATAGCTCCTCAGAGGAATAAATCATCATAGTTCACCTGACTTAACATCAACTGAGAATCTGGTTCAGAGATTTCAGAATACATTGCATCTAAGGCTGCCAATTGTATATAAAACCTTTTTTACGGGCATGTGGCAAATAGCCAAAACAAAGCAACAGTGTCAACTCACAGTGTGGTTGGAGAAGAACAGAACTTACCCCACCATTCTTTTTTTAATAAACAGAGAAGAAAACTGCTTGCTTCCAGGTCCCGGTCACTTTCATTCCTCTATCAACACCAATGGAAGTGGAGTAAAAATGCTCATATTTCCCGGAAGGATTGCTATGAAGGGGACACCTGCAGAATAGGGAGCATGGGGAATGAAATTAAGCTGCAAGATACTCAATCACGTGGTCAGAACAGCACACAGGGTTTAATAAAAATCCACTTATTCAACTTAACTTGCAATCAGGTCTACACTTTTCAAGTGAAACTGTTGTATTCTGTAGTTGGGCCAGCTAATCAGATCTGCTCCTGGAGTGTATCACTAAAGGCATGTTTTCCAACCCTGCGTTCATTCGCATATTTTCTCTGAACTTTCTGCAATTTACCCACATCCTTCTTGAAATGTTGATACCAGAACTGTACATAATATTCTACTAGAATTCTCACCAGTTACAGCTACTTGACGGTCCCCTGTTTATAAATCCAAGGATCACATTTGCTCTTTTGGCAATAGTGTCATACTAGGCATTCATGTTCAGCTCATTATCCTGGGAATCAATGACTCTGAAAAAAGATGAAGAGCATTCTCTATTACATTTTTTGTTCCTAGATGTACATCTGTACATGTGGCTGTATTAAAACACATATTGTTTGCTTACCCTCAACTTACCAAGTGATCCACACAACTCTGAATCAGGGACTTGCCTGTTTCATTATTTACCACTCTTCCAGTTTGTGCGTCATCTGTAAACTTTATTAGTGATGAATTTATGTTTTCTTCCAGATCACTAATAAAAACATTAAATGGTTTAAGAACAAGAATCTATCTCTGCAGGTCCCTGCTACAAATACACCAACCAATATGATTCCCATTTTAAAAGTATGTTTTGAGTCCTTTTGGCTGGTTTTTAATCCATTTAATCGGTGCCATGTTGATTTTGTATTGTTGTAGTTTCTTAATCAAAATGTCATGTGGTACAAAGTCAAACACTTTCTAGAAGTCTAAGGAAATGTTATCAGCTCCATCAGCCAAACTTACCTCTTTTTTAAAAAGCTATCAAGTTAGTTTGACAAGCTCTGTCTTCCATAAGCCCATGCTGACTGGCATTTATTTGTTATCCTCCTTTATTTCTTTAGTAATCAAGTTCTATATTAGCCATTGCTCAGGATCAATGTCAGGCTGATACCCCTATCCCGGTCAGCCCTGTCACAGTTCAGGGCAACTCCACCTATACTGGCCTTCGGAGTTCCAGCAAGGACTCTCATTCTAGGCTCCAAGCTCCTCAGCCACCACCTGTCTGGAATGAAGATAGACATGTCTTTCTCCCCTGACCATGGTATTTCCAGGCTGCAATATCCACAGTAAAGACAGTCTGTCTTAACAGTCCTCAGTTAAGTTATCGCACAGCTCTTCCTAAGTGAGCACATTTATTCTTAAGATAAAAACATTACAGAGAAAACCTGTTTAA